CTTTGCACTGAGCTACATCTTTAGCCCTTTAAAATTTTATTTTTAGGGTCTCACTAAATCACTCAGTTGCCCAGGCTGGTCTTGAACTTAAAATCCTCTGGCCTCAGCCTCCTAGAGTGCTGGGAAACAAGCATGAGCTACCATGTTTGGCTCCTGAATTTTAAATATTTAAATTATTTTTTGAATTGACAGGTAATAATTGTGCATTTTTATGGGGTACAGTGTGATTTTTTTTTTTTTTTCTTTTTGAGACAGGGTCTCGCTAGGCAGTTCAGGCTGGCCTTGAGCTCATTTTGTAGCCCAGGCTGGTCTCGAACTCGCAGCGATCCTCCTGCCTCAGCCTCCCAAGCGCTAGGGTTATAGGCATGTGCTACCACACCCAGCATCACTGATGGACCCTTACAGTTGATTCTGTATCCTGGATATTGTGAATAATGCTGCAATAAACATGGGCACACACTGGTCCCTTAGGTTATGCCTACGGATTCTTTGCGTAGGCCGCTCACATCAAAGTGCTATAGACAGCTAAGTTAGATAGAATGACTAGGCTGTCAGAGAGGATTCAGGCCCTCGAGGGAATCTACGGAAGAGCGGACACACCCAGACTGGGGCTGGAGGCAAATCTAAGGAGAACCAGGCCTCGGGATGGAGAGGCATGCAAGCCTCACTGGAGATAAACAGCAGCTTGAAATTATACTAGAAGGCCGGGCATGGTGGCGCACACCTGTAATCCCAGCACTCGGGAGGCTGAGGCAGGAGGATCGTTGTGAGTTCGAGACCAGCCTGGGCTACAAAGTGAGCTCAAGGCCAGCATGAACTGCATAGCGAGACTCTGTCTCAAAAAAAGACAAAAACAGAAAACAAAAACAAAAACAAAAATTAGCTACACTTCTAATCCTATAGACTGCTTCTATCTGACCCATGTTGAACCCACACTGTGATTTTGCTATATACAACATTCTCGAACAAAGCTCTCGGTGGCCGCTTGCTCGGGCCCCTCCTGGAAACCCAGGCGCTATTCTCATTTCCGGTAAAACTCTCCCAACCTCCTCATTCGCTTCGGGACTTCGTTCCTCTCGATGTCGCGGGTCCATGAATTTGGCACATCTGATATTTAACAAGTTGGGAGCTCTTTTCCCCTGTTGCAAAAGGAAGCCATTTATTTGGTGAGAAGGAAAAAGGATTTATTCAAAGGATGGAGGGCCCCTCAGATCCCCTTCCCCCTGTGTCGGGGTACTGGGGTCTTTTGTAGCAGGGAACAGAGGGGCAGGGACACAGGGAAACAAGCGCACCGTCGCTTTCACCCCGGCCTCCCTTGCCTCAGGGCAGAGGGACCGGAAGGGGGCTTGGACTGTCCCCCCTCTGCCAGCTCCTGCCTGCCTGGGGGTCGGGCTGGGAACGGCCCTTCAAGACCTGCCGGGGAACTGGGACCTGGAGAATCAGAGTCTTAATGGCAGCCTGGGGTCCTCTCATGACCTCTGAAGGCCTCCTCCAGGCCAGGGGCCTGGTGCGGCCATCTTGGCTCCAGGTGCCTGGGGGCCCATAGCCCTCATGTGGGCCTTGCCCTCTCTGGCCTTCTTTTTTTTGTTTTGAGACAGGGTCTCGCTATGCAGGCCCACTGGACTTCAATTCACTTTGTAGCCCAGGCTGGTCTCAAACACACACAATCCTCCTGCCTCAGCCTCCTGAGTGCTGGGATTACAGGCGTGTGCCACCACACCCAGGGTTACCCTTGGCCTTTTTGAGCTTCAGGCCTTCTTCCATCTCTTGGCCAGAGAAGCCTTCAGTCAGCAAGCATCATGGAGCACTAGGTGTCTGCCAAGTACTCTGGACAATGGAGGTGCAGAGTGGTCACGGAGCTCACATTCCAGAGGGGGAGATAAAATCAGCATGGGGTGTGCGAGAGGTGAGAGGTACTATGGCAACAAAGTGGTGGCCTCGGTGGGTGATGGTGGTGGTGGCAGCGTGAGGAAGAAGTGTGGGATTTTAAACAAGGTACCGGGCGAAAGCATCCTGAAAAGGTGACGTTTGAGCAAAGGCTTGAGAGAAAGAGAGCCTTTTGGGTATCTGAGTGAAGAACCTCTGGCAGGCACCACAGGCAGTGCAAAGGTCCTGAGGTGTTTTCAGTCTTCCAGGGATAAATGGAGGCCTGGGTGGTGGCACAGAGGCAATGTGGGTAAGAGAAGTAGGAAGGGGGTCAGAGCAGGTACAGCTGACTTCTGCATTTACCCTGTGCAGACTGGGAACTGTGTTGGGGTTTAGAGCTGAGAAGGGATGATGTCATGCTCTATTCAGTTCCTTCTGGTTGTCTGAGGGAAGCAGGCCGAAGGAGGATGAGGTCACACATGGCAGGGACCAGGCTGGACGTGGCTGGGTAAGTTCACAGAAGGGAAGGTGGAGGCTTGGGCCAAGGGGTAGAAGTAAAGCAAAGCAAAGTAGTCAGGTTCTACATCTTGCTGACTTTTTAGCACGCTGTTTTATTTTGAAAAACTCAAACTTATGAAAAGTCCTGCCGGGCGTGGTGGCGCACGCCTGTAATCCCAGCACTGGGGAGGCTGAGCCAGGAAGATTGCTGTGAATTCGAGACCAGCCTGGGCTACAAAGTGAGCTCAAGACCAGCTTGAACTATCTAGAGAGACCCTGTCTCAAAAAGACAAAAAAAAAAAAAGTCCTAAGAGTAATACAAGGAATACCATAAACCAGTGAGGGTAAACTTTTATTTTTTTTATTTTTTATTTTTGTCTTTTTTTTTTTGAGACAGGGTCTCGCTACGCAGTTCAGGCTGGCCTTGAGCTCACTTTGTAGCTCAGGCTGGTCTCGAACTCGCAACGATCCTCCTGGATAGCAAACTTTTAGAGCTTTCATAACAAGCAGCTGGCTCTGGCCCATGTGCCATATGTTGACCAACACTGCCATAGACCCTCAATACGCTTCAGTACCTGTGCACATCTTCCTACATATGCTGCACTTTTATCTCCTGTTATTATTTTACTATTATTATTACTGATATTATTACTATTATGATTATTACTATGATTATTATTATTGTACAGGGGATTGACTGAACTCAGGGCCTTGTACACTGTAGGAAAGTGCTGCATCACTGAGCTTATATCTCCAGCCTTTTTACTTTGTTTTGAGACAGGGCCTCCCTAAATTGCCCTAGGTGGCTTTGAACTTGAAATTCTCCTGCTTCAGCCTCTGAGTAGCTGGGATGACAGGTGTGCATCACCATACCCAGCCTATTATTTTTTCTGTGAAACAATTAAAGAGGAAGTGTGCCATCGCTGTGATCATTTACTCCTACATACTTTTTTTTTTTTTACTCCTACGTACTTTTAAACATGTATTTTCTAAGAAAAGAAGCCATTCCCTGTCGTAATCATCATTTACTTCTCAAATTTGGGAAAGCTAATATTCACTCTACAATCTATACTAATACAGATTGTACTAATGTCTACTCTACAATCCATATTTAAATTCTGCTAATTATCTTGATAGTGTCCTGCATAATACCCTACCCCCTCATATACGATTCCGTACTGCTGTTACCAGTCATATCTCTTCACACTTTAAGACCTGGAACAATGCCCCAACCTCTTCTTGTCTTTTCTAATACTGATATTTTTATTTATATATTTATTGATGTATTTATATATATATTTATTTATTTATTTCTCTTTTTGGGACAGCATCTCATTATGCAGTTCAGGATGGCCTTGAGCTCGCTTTGTAGCGCAGGCTAGTCTCGAACTCGCAACAATCCTTCTGCCTCAGCCTCCTGAGTGCTGGATTACAGGCATGCACCACCACATCTGGCCTAACACTGACATTTTTTTTTTTTTCCCGGTACCGGGAATCGAACTCACGACCTTGCACTTGCCAGGCAGGTGCTGTGTGGCTGAGCTAAATCCCCAGCCCCAGCACTGACATTTTTAAAGAGTACAAGCTGATTGTTTTATAAAATTTCTTTCAATTAGAGTTTAGAGTTTGCCTGCTCTTTCTTCCTCCTTCCATTCTGCCCTTCATTCTTTCTTTTCTTTCTTTCTTCTTTCTTTCTT